AAAGAGTTGTCATCCTGTTGTCAGTCCTGAATCTGTTTACAGCATGCTCTTCATGAGGGCCTATAGAAGTACTCCAACCACAAGATTAAATGCCAGCACTGTAGTTTTGGCCACCCCACCTGTTAGCAATGAGTCATCAAGAGATGATACAATGCCGAGAGGTCCTGAGAGAATTTACAGTGTCAGCCTCGGCCCACTTGGCAGCTTCACACAATGAGACACTGTCTAACGATACAGACCATCTAAAAAGAGTGGCTCTAAGAAAGGAATGACAGGAAGAGAGGGGAGTGAAACTCCTTTTACAGCACCTTGCAAAAGTATTCAAACCCCTTCATCTTTTTTGCATTTTGTCATGTTACAACCACAAACTTTAATGTGATTTATTGGGTTTTTATGTGATAGACAGACCAACACAAAGTTCATCATAATTGTCAGGTGGAAATGAAATAAAATATTGTTTTCGTTATTTCCTAAAAAATGTGGCTAGTGTTAATATTTAGTCCATCTCTTGAGTGAATACTTTCTAGAACCACCTTTTGCCGGAGTATGTCTCTACCAGCTTTGCATATATAGAGATTAAACAATTTTAATTCTTATTCTTCAAAAGCTCAGTCAGATTGCATAGAGAACACTGTAACAAATGTATTTTAAATCTTATCACGAATACTCAACTGGATTTAGGTCTGGACTTTGACTGGGCCTTTATAACACATGAAACTACTTTGATCTAACCAATTCCCTTACAACTCTGTGCTGGAAAGTGAACATTTGTCCCAGGCTCAAGCCTTTTGCATTTTCTAATAGGTTATCTTACATGATTACCCTGTATTTAGCTCCATCCACCTGTCTTCTTCTTCAACTTTAAGCAGTTTTCCAGTCATTGCTGAAGAAAAGCATCCCACATGATGCTGCCACCACCATGCTTTACAGTGGGCATGGTGTATTCAAGGTGGTATTTTTCTACCACACAGCATTTTGTCTGTAAGTCAAGAGATTCAATTTTCATCTCATCTGACCAGAATGTCTCCTTTCACATGTCTGCTATGTCTCCTAGCGGCAAACTGCAGAGTTTAATTCTTTTGCCCTTGTCTCAACAATTTGACAGCTTTGACATTTCCATAAAGGACATGTTTCTGGAATGCATGACTAATAGTTATCCCGTCTAAAGATTCCCTCACCAGAGCTTTGGATCTCCGCATCTCCTCCAGAGTCAACAAGAGTCTGTTGGCTTCTTTTTTAAATAATGGTCACCTGACAGTTTGGGTGGATGATAATGTCTTGGTAGGTTGACAGCTCTGCCATAGTCTTTCCACTTTCAGATGATGGACTGAATAGTGCTCTGTGAAATGTTCAAAGAGTATTGTTTTATACCCTAATCCTGCTTTAAACATCTCCACAGCTTTTTCCCTGGTCTGCCTGTTGTGTTCCTTGGTCTTCATGATGTTGTTTGTTCTTTAATGTTCTCTAACAAAACTCTGAGGCCTTCACAGAACAACAGGATTTATACTGACATTAAATCACACACAGTAGACTGTTTTTACTAATTAGGTGACTTCTGACTGTTAATTATTCACTGGATTTTATTAGGGGAAATCAGAGTAAAAGGGGGTGAATACAAATGCGCACCATACTGTTCAGCTCTATATTTGCAAAAAAACATTGAAAACCATTTAGCATTTTTATACGCACTACTTGGTGTTGATCTATCACATAAAATCCCAATAAAATGCACAGTTGTGGTTGTAACTAGAATAACTGTAAAAGCCATTGCAGGGTTTTTAATACTATGCAAAGTTCTGTATCAAAGTATGGCCAAACCTGCGGGGATATCAGCCCAAATGTCTCCATCCAGGATTCCAGAGCTTTTTGAAAAGCTCACAAAGTGTGATAAGAAAAACATTTACCTTCTCAATCTTGTTCTTGTGTGCAGAGTTTTTTAAAAAAAATGGGGTGAAATCTTGATTATGTAACAAAAAAAAAGCAAAGCTGTTTTTCTTCAAATAATTCAGGACTGAATCAGCTGAAATTCCAGACTGGATTCCTTACTTTCTTACACACACACACACACACACACACTCAACAACCACTGCAGAAATGAATACTTTCAGTTGGTGCCATCTAGTGGACAGATCAACAAACATGCTAATTTTCTGCCTCTGCAGTACGGTCAGTTAGTGAGTCAGGGTGGTAATGACAAACAGTCAAACAGACAGTTAACAGCCATAGTTTGACTTTAACATACCATACCAGCTCAGTGAAAACATGTGGAGATAATGTCCATTATTTTATTTCAAGTTAATAAAAAAGCTCTTTAACAGCATATGGGAATCAATAATCAAGGGCAATCCTTCATGGATACAGCAACAGCTATCTGTACCAGCATGCCTTCATGCACAAACATCCCACATTCATGCATGCACACAAAGCGTACACTTCACCAACACACTTATCTATGACTACTTGCGAGAATATGTTCACAAAAAACACATGCTGACAAGGAAATAGTCCAAGATGGATTTACACACTCCTCTACAATCTGTGTGCTAAACAGCATGGGACCATATGCAGCTTTAAAGTGACCTTCGCTTTAAGCCACTGCAGCACTGTTCTGTTCAAGGAGAGTGACACACACAGATGCTCTAGAGTCAGTGACAACAGCACATTAGCAGGAGTAAGAAGAATATTCATGCAAGATTTTACACCTTGATCTCTGAGATAATAACCTAAAAGATAGTTCTGGATAAATGTTCATTTTTTTCCCTACAATGTCACAAACTGACACTGCACTGATTTTTTTCCAAAAATGATTTCAAAACTAGGGTATCCGATGCTGCTGGAGACAAACCACTGGCCTGTCATGTTTTTAACAACAATATGATTTTAGTTTCTCCTGCATGCTTAGTGGGAGGAAAGGCAAAGGTTTGCAATCTGCAAACTCAACTCTAGATGGCAACAAATCACCCAAACAGCTCATTTATGACCTAACAGAATTACATTTTTAGTTTACATCCCTGTCACTATTCAATCAGTTGTTGAACACACTCTGTTTAGCTGCACTCAGTTACAGAATTAGACTTGTGCAGGTATTTGTTTTAGAAATTCAAAATTGCATATATTTCCCAACATTTACTGCTGCCTTTCTCCATTCTCTGTTTGAAGAATATTTATTATTAATAATAATAATAATAATAGCTACATGAGATAGTTAGATGCATTTAGAAAAGTACAAAATAAAACGTTCTACTGTCACCTATAGTCCAGATGGACCATGAAATGATAAGTGATGTCAGAGTTGACACATATTGAGAGATTCAATGAAGCATGTTTCCTGCATATCTGTGCTGCTCAACCATCCATCCATTATCTTCCAGTTATCCAAGATTGGATCACAGAGGTAAGAGGTCCAGGAGGGAAATCCAGACATCCCTCCCCACAGCGACACTCTCCAGTTCATTCTGGGGAGTCCCAAGGTGTTATAGTCCCACTTCAACTGCCTCCTTTCGGTGCAGAATAATTCAAGCTCCCCCTTGTTGGTGGATGATGGAGCTCCTCAATGTATTTCTAAGTCTGGCCACTCTAAGGAGAAAACTAATTTTAACCACTTGTATCGAGGGTCTGGTTTTTTCTGTCGTGATCCATATTTCATGACCTTAGGTGAGGGTTGGAATGAGATGGACCAGTAAATTGAGAGTAATGGGTATCTGGGTGGCTTTTAAGGGCTTTCTGATCCTTGTATGCACCTTGGAATCCGTCAGGGCTGCCCCGTGTCACCAACCCTGTTTCTGGCATTTGTGGACAGGATCCCAAGACACAGTCATGAAGAGAGGAGCGCCTGGTTTGGGAACCTCAGGCTCCCATCTTTGCTTTTAACAGATGATGTGGTTCTGTTGGCTTCTTCAGGTCATGACCTTCAGCATGCACTGGAGCGGTTTGCAGCTGATTGTGAAGAGCCTGGGATTAGAGTAAGCTCCTCTAAGTCTGAGGCCATGGTCCTCGACCTGAAAAAGGTGGACTGCCCCTCTCTGGGTTGGAGGTCAGTCTTTGCCTCTGGAGGAGTTTAAGTATATTGGTGTCTTGTTCACAAGTGATCGTGGGACGGAACGGGAAATGGACAGAAGAATTGAGGCTTTGTCTCCAGTACTGTAGGCACTACTCTCATCTGTTGTCGTGAAGAAAGTTTTTGCCAGAAGGCTTTGATCTTTGTAAAGCCTAGAAAGAGTTTTACATTGATTACTGAAAAGGATATAAAGTCTTTCGAGATTCCAATTTTGTTAAAATGTAAATAAAAACAGAGAAATGGATTTTTCAAAAATGATTTTTCTTTTACATTTTTTTATTATCTTTTGGAATTGTTTCCAATCAGAAACAAACTTCTTGGCTGTTTCTGGTTGGAAATCAGCCAGGTGTATGAATGACTTGGGGCTTAACTATAATTTAGAGCTTTTGAATTTACCAATTTTGACAATATTATTGACTTATATTTAGTTTAAAGGCCTTTTCCCTGTTAAAGCGGCTTTTTTAATGGCCCTAAAAACTTAGCGCCGATCACTCTCCAGAGTGATCAACACTAATATACAGCTTTAAATACTGCTACTCTACGGGTTTCCGGCATTAAGGCAGATTTCGGATTCCGGCTGCAGGGATTTGCTCTCATTCAGCCACAGGAGCATTACCAAGCTCTCACTCTGGCTCATAGTTTGTCCTGACTCTGTTGAAGAGCTCCTGGATTTGTTCATAAACTTGGCATGTAGTGGCAATAATTTAATATTAATGTTTTATTTATGGTTTCAATTTTAAACATTACATAAAAATAAGATTAACACATTTGGTAAATGGACTGAACTTATATAGCGTTTTCCAGTCAAACAGACCACTCAAAGCGCTTTACACTAGAGCCACATTCACCCAATCGCACTCACTAACACTCACACATTCATACTCCAATACGCAGATCGGTAGGCAACTTGAGGTTAAGTGCCTTGCCCAGGGGCACATCGACATATGGCAGGGGGAAGCTGGAATTGAACCTACAACCTTCTGATTGCAAGACAATTACTCTTCCTACTGAGCCACAGTCACCAAGAGTCACCAAGAGTCGCCAAGATGATTATTGTAGAAATAATCATCTTTTCATAAAGTATATCCTTTTAGAAATAAACAACACTAAGTGCGCTGTTTCCTGGTTTTGTACCAAAATCTTTACATTATAAGGTTTAATACAGTTCTCTATCCCTCAACATGACAAAAAGAAGTTTTAAACTCATTGCCATGAGGGAACATGTATGACATGTAAATTAGGAGTGAATGTTGCAAAGTCAATGCCTTGAAAAAAAGATTTATGTATATTTCTGTGTATATATTGGATGTTTGGATTTTTGGTAAAGTGCCAGGGGATGACATTCGTTTTGAATTGGTGCTATATTAGTAAACTAAAACTAATATACTAAGTGTACCGGAGTCAAATTCCTTGTTTGTATGTACGAACTTGGCAATAAAGCTGATTCTGATTCTGATTCTGATAAAATGAGTTCGACCAGTCTGAATAAAAACAGTCCTCTAAAGGAAGTTCCCGACAAGTACCATAAATTATATTAAGTGAAGCACATTGACATTTAGTACCATAGTCAATGTCATAGACTGGTGGGACGCAATTAAGAAATTCATCTAATTAATCAGAGCAGGGTTGTCAACAGTGCAGTCCGGGGGCCCTCTGAATCATCTGCTTCAGTCCCCAAGAATATTTAAAGTATGGCCTGCGATGCAAGCACAGGCTGTTGATGCAGATGGACACTTGCTTTTATTTTTAATGGTGAGGATTTCACAGACAAAAAAAATCTATTTTTCTTTTATTAACATGTTTGTGCTTCTTTTCAGTTTTTTGTAATTAAATGTTGCTACAAATAGCAAGTGCCCACTCATGTCCCATAAACTGACATAAGAAAATTTGGGAAATTATATGTCTGTCTTTAATGAGGCAATCATGTGAGACTCTTTTTATGTTTTGGATCATTACTGATTTCTTTTCTACAAAAATTAGACTACTTTGCTCATGTCAATAAATTTTGCACGTTTAGTTTAATATTTAGTAGAAATTTATTTATCTATTTTATTTTATTTTTCTCCACTTACAGTATTGTTACTGTTGTGCCACTAATTAGGGAACTGAGAGCAGAAAGGTGCAACTTGTTAAAGAATTCTTTAAAATGAAAGCATCAAAGTCAGTCAGTCATTTTCTACTGCTTCTTTCATAGTTGGTCACAGGGAAGCTGGTGCCTATCTCCAGGGTACATCCTGAACAGGTCGCCTGTCCATCGCAGGGCAACACAGAGACACACAGGACAAACAAGTCCTTTAATCCTCTCTAATTTAGAGAGACCAATTAACCTAACAGGCATGTCTTTGGAGTGTGGGAGGAAGCCGGAGTACCCACGCATGCACATACACCCTGGACAGGTCACCAATCCATCGCAGGGCAACACAGAGACACACAGGACAAACAACCATGCACACACTCATACCTAAGGGCAATTTAGAGAGTCCAATTAACCAGAGTACCCAGTGAGGACCCACGCATGCATGGGGAGACCATGCAAATTCCATGCAGAAAGACCCCCGACTGGGAGTTGAACCCAGGACTTTCTTGCTGCAAGGCTGCTACCAACTGCGCCACCGTGCAGCCCCGGAAGCATCAAAGTTCCTGCCCTAATTCAACTGCAATCAAATTTGCATCCACTTAAGACTTTATTTTAGCTCAAAATGGACCAAAGTCAGCAATTTGGAGACTTTTTTTTACCAGTCTACATGTATGACGCAGTGACTAACTGGTCATCGTGACTCAGATAGAATACGAAAGAAACCTTTTGTGATTTTAATCAAATTCTTATCAATGAGTATCTGTTCTGTTAATATAAATACAGTACTTATAAAAAGACTTAGTATGTCCCACAGTCAGAAGGTACAAAATAGAAATTCTAGAGTTTTGTGGCTGCTTTCCACTTTTTTAAAATGAGACGATACATATATTAACCAATTCTCTTTAAGAACTGTAATATACAAAGATGTACGTAACAGCATTCAAAGTGTTTTTTGCAGCTCTCCTGCTGTGGGTGGTAATAAAATATTTATATTAGGAGAAGAGGTTACTTTCTACTGCTATGTCAGAGAAAGCTGCCACTGTAAACAGGATTTTACTACTATTTTAAAACAAGACCAAATTATTATAAAGTTCACATTTTTAAATGTTTTTAGCATCTTATATTAGCAGTTAGCACAGCTTGCATTTAAAAAAAACTAGCAGTCTTTGTGTGTATTCCCTACAGAATACAAACTTTAATCATAATTCTAATATTCCAAAAAGGCTGCCGATATTTCTAAATCTCAAGACAGACACTAAAAGCTAAAAAGGGTAAAAGAGAGAAATTTCAACAATCTTCATGTTAATTTTTATCTGCTAAAAGTATTGCTCTCTCTCCCTCTCTTGCAACCAGAATGAGCTACAGACATATCTCGACCCATTGTAGAAAATGGTTTCCTTCAAAAAAGCTCTGTACAACCTCTAAATTTGTTTTTTAAAAACCTCACTGATACTGGAAATAATTCTGAGTCTTCTTAACGGCATTACAACTTAGCAGTATGTGTTCTGTGATCAAAATTAGATCTTATTTTTCGGTTTCCGACTGGCCTGTAAGACTTGATGCTGTAAACTGAAGTGTCCTACAAGAAATAAATAACAATATTGACCGACTGAATAGATTAAGTGTTTGGTTTACTGTATTTTGATGAAAACATATAACATGTTGGGGTCTACAAGCCTGTAATGGGTGAACTTTTTTCCGGGGGGAAACTACCAGTTTTTGGAACCCACCTGGACAAAGAGATGGATGGGTTGATGTACCAGCTGCTCCCCAGCTGTGCACACTCTCGCCCTCTTGGAATCACATCATCCGAGCCGCTGCTTAGTCTCTCACTGGAAGGAGCCCGAGTGGCGTCTGAGTCCCCCATCAGTGTAAAGATAGAATCAGAGAGGCTGGGCCTCTCGTGGTGTGCCAGTGGGGCGAAGCTGAGCTGCACAATCTGACGGGCGCTCTGGCACACCAGCCCGTGGATGGCGGGGGTCAGTGTAGGCAGATCGAAGCTCAGAACAGTTTGGGTGCTGGAGGTCAGCAGATCCTCGCTGTCCAGGCTGTTGTAGGAGGTCCCTTTGGCTCGATGGGACTCCATGATGCTCTCAAAGTGGCTGCTGAAGGTGTCCTCAGTGGCACAGCGGGGACCACAGACCAAGATGGGGGATTTCAGGGCTGGGTTGTGGTTGTCAAAAAAGGTTTCCATGGGTCTAAACAGGAAAATCGTTTTTATGTAAATGGAACAAGTCAGAAGTTGGCAGGATGAAAACCTACTTTTAGTGACAGAATCCTTAATAATTAATGCAAAAATGTCTGTTTTGTGCCCAAGCTGGAAATTAGGTTATGAAAGACATGCAAATCAAGATTAATTTAGTATTAAAACTCTTCTGAAACTCATTTTTATTTTTTAATACACTCACTGGCCACTTTATTAGGCACACCTGTTCACTTGCTTGTTAGCATAAATAGCCAACTAGCCAGTCGCATGGCAGCAGTTTATTGCATTTAGGTATGTAGACTTTGTTAACACAACTTGTTGAAGTTCAAACAGAATGGACAAGATAGGGGATTTAGGTAACTTTGAACATGGCATTGTTGGACATGCTGGCCTGAGTAATTCAGAAACCACAAATCTAAAGAGCATATCACCCATAACTATTTATCAGGTTTAAAGAGAATGGTGCAATAAAGAGAAACTTTCAGTTAGTAGCAATTGTGTGCTCAACAAGGCCTTGTTGACATCAGAGGTTAGAGGATAGTGGTTTGAGATGACTGAAATGTAAGAGTAGCTTAAATTCTTACTCTATGTTGAACTATGAAGCAGATAGGCTACAGCAGAATGTCACACTGGATCCCATTCCTATCAGCTAAGAACAGGAAACTGAGGCTGAAAATCACAGGCTCACTAACACTTTGCAATAACAGATGAGAGAAATGTCATCTGGTCTGATGATTCTAGATTTCATCCGCAACATTCAGATGGTTGGGCCGGAATTTAAAGGTTTCTACTGGTGGTGGTTGTATTATGGTGTGGGGGATATTTTCTTGGCACACTTTGGTCTCCTACCCAACTGAGTATAATTTAAATGCCTTAGCATTGTTACTGACCTTTTATGACCATCCTTTTATAATCACAGTGCACGTATTGTCAGGAATCCGGGGGATTTGTGTTCTGTTCGGCCTCCAACGCTCAGGTCAAGATCCTCAGACTTCTCCTGCTTCTCTGCCTTCCATCTCCACCTCACACATTTGGACCTAATCTCCGGATTCTGCTCATTCCCCTGGCATCATCATCTGCAGCTACAAGTAAGCCTCTCTTATTCTCCTTTACCTAATTCTCTAATCATTGTGCTCCCGCTCACATGTCCTCTCTTCCTCAGTGATGCTGCAGTCCCATTCCCCAGAGAAGTACACAGTCAAGATCAAGATCTCACTAACCATTTTCGTAATTGTATTCAATAAACCTTTTGAAATCTTTTCAGTCTACTGAGAGTGTTGTGGATATGGGTCAGGCAGTTAAACAAAACCATGACATGTATCTTCTAATGTTTATTCCCAGCAGTGTAATGCATCATATCAAAGTTCAAATCATTTCAAACTATTTTCTTGAGCATGACAATGAGTTTACTGTACTCTAATAGCCTCTACAGTGTTTAGTATCATGGATGAGCTGCTGAGAAATAACCAATAACTGCATGACATCACCATGTTGATATGGGCCAAAATATCTGAGAAATGTTTCCAACACCTAGTTGAATCTATGTCACATAGGATTAAGGCAGTTCGGAAAGCAATGGAGGTCCAACTTAGTGCTAGCAAGGTGTACCTAATGAAGTGGCCAGCGAGTGTATGGGTATGTTTTCAGTCTGACGGCAACTTGTTCACCTCATTAGAAGTTGTCCAAACACCTTTGGGTCTTCTTCAACTGCATACCGCTGCTTTCTGCTATCGCCTTGC